TTGGGAGGCCGGGCAGGCGGATCACGAGGTCAGGAGATCGAGACCACATGGCTAACATGGTGAAACCCCGTCTCTACTAAAAATACAAAAAAAATTAGCTGGGCATGGTGGTGGGCACCTGTAGTCCCGGCTACTTGGGAGGCTGAGGCAGGAGAATGGCGTGAACCCGGGAGGCGGAGTTTGCAGTGAGCCGAGATAGCGCCACTGCACTCTAGCCTGGGCAACAGAGCGAGACTCCATCTCAATTTAAACAAACAAACAAAAAAAAAGCACTACCAGCTTCAAGTGCACTCTGTTCTTAATTTTTATAAATTTTTGGTCTTTTGGTCTCCTCTCCCTTCCTCTCCACCAACTTGTCTGAATGCCATATAGATAAATGCCACCCAATGTTTTCCCAGGGACAGTAGAATCACCATCATTTATGAACTTATCAGAAATGGAAATTCTTAGATTCTATCCTAGACATCACAAACTTTGGGTACAGGGTCCAGAAATCTATGCATCTTGTGATTATTGTACATGCTGAAGTTTGAGAACCACTGTGCTAAGCAACCTGTTGGAAATACATGGGAGTTATCTACAAATACAGAACTGGAGCTCAAACAGGGTGGGAAATATCAATACATCCACATTCTGAAGTTAATTGCTACTGAAATAATGGGAGCTCACAAGAAACAGCAGACAAGCAGACATAAATAACAACAGCTAACATTTTAAGAGTACTTCTATGTGCTACACATTATACGCTGTTAGCAGTCATGCATCACTTAACAACTGGGATATGATCTGAAAAATGCCTCTTTAGGTGATTTCGTCGTCGTATCAACATCACAGAGTGTACTTACACATATCTGCATGGTATAGCTTACTATATACCTAAACAATATGGTATACCCTATTATTCCTAGGCTACAATCCTGTACAGCATGTTACTGTACTGAATAGGCAATTATAACACAATGATGTCTGTGTATCTAAACACAGAAAATATATAGTAAAAATAGGTATAAACGATAAAAAATGGTACACCTGTATAGGGCACTTACCATGAATAGAGCCTGCAGGACCGAAAGCTGCTCTGGGTAAGTCAGTGCGTGAGTGGTAAGTGGATGTGAAGGCCTAGGGCGTTTACTGTACACTACTGTAGTCTTTATAAACACTCTCCACATAGGCTACATCAAACATATAAAAAATGTAATTCTTTCTTCAATAATAAATTAACTTTAACTTACTATAACTTTTTTACTACATAAAATTTTTAATATTGTAAACTTTTTGACTCTTTTGTAATAATACTGAACTTAAAACACACACTGGATAGTTGTACAAAAACATTTTCTTTCTTTATATCCTCATTCTATAAGCTTTTATCTATTTAATTTTTTTAACTTTTTAAACATTTTTATTAAAAACTAAGACACAAACATACACATTAGCCTAGACCTACACAGGGTCAGGATCATCAATATCACTCTTCCACTTTCACATCTTGTTCCACTGGAAGGTTTTCAGGGGCAATAACATGCGTAGAGACATCATCCCCTATGATAACAATGCCTTCTTCTTGCCTTCCTGAAGGACCTATCTGAGGCTGTTTTACAGTTAACTTTATATAAGTAGAAGGAGTATACTCTAAAATAATAATTAAAAAGTATAGTATGGTAAATAAACCATTAGCATAGTTATTTAATATTATTATCAAGTGCTATATACTGTAATGCACTGCACTGTGATATTACAAAGGCTACAAAGTCACCAGGTTTTTCAGCTCCATTATAATCTTATGGAAACCATCATCATGCATGTTGTCCATAGTTGACCAAAATGTAATTATGCTTCACATCACTATATACCTGATATTAATTATCAGGTATTATAATTATCATTTTCACAAGTGAGAAAACTAATGCTCAGAAAGAAGAGTGTAAATTCTTGTCTTGCCTCCAATTTTCGATTCCTCCAATTTCCATGCCCTTGACTATTGTACATACAGTGAGAAAAAGAGTTTTGAACAGAACCCTAGGAAGACTGTGGAGGTGACTGAGGTTAACTGGTCAAAGAATTAGAGGAAAAAATCAGAAATATGAGGAGGAAGTCTAAGTGAGGAACGTTTTAAGAAGGAAGGCATAATCACAATGGTTGGTTTCAAATATTTTTTCATTCAGTAGGTCCACAGATGATGCAGAACTTTAAAAAAAGTTTTATGGATGCTACTCTTCCTCCTCGAGTTTTGAGTTTTAGTCAAAAAAACAGGGACGCCTGTAATCCCAGCACTTTGGGAGGCGGAGGCGGGCAGATCACAAGGTCAGGAGATCGAGACCATCCTGGCTAGCTAACACGGTGAAACCCCGTCTCTACCAAAAATACAAAAAATTAGCCGGGTGTGGTGGCGGGCGCCTGTAGTCCCAGCTACTCAGGAGGCTGAGGCAGGAGAATGGCGTGAACCCGGGAGGCGGAGCTTGCAGTGAGCCGAGATTGCGCCACTGCACTCCAGCCTGGGCGAAAGAGAGAGACTCTGTCTCAAAAAAAATAAAAAATAAAAAATAAAACAGGGACTAACTTGAAGTGTGTTGAGAACAATGACTAATGTTATTTTTAAAAGTGAAATTTTTAAAAAGTGCTTTTGCATTTAGATGAATAAGGGAAAAATGAAGAAAAATAAGGGTTACTAATGGTCATAGTTCTCTGTCTGCTTTGCATGCACAGAAGGCTAGACTAAGCAGGTAGCCAATCCTGACTTATTTTTAAACTAAAGAACCAATTCCATTCTTTTATAAAGTAAGTGATCATCTGCTCACGGTATTTTCTCAATTACATAAATCCATTCAGGAGAAGAAGGCTGGAGGTGAGGAGCGGGGGAAGATAATTCCTGTTAGGAGCCAGAGGTAACCGGAAGGCCAGTGATCCTGGCGGAGTTAAGAGAGATGTCAAATGCAGGTTGACAGAAATGGTTAGACCAAGCCTATCAGGGAACTGTAACAGGAAGAGACCCATTAGCCAAAGGCTGAAAATACTTTAAGATTTAAAAGGAGTATAATACAACTGGTTAGGTCACAGCTTGTTTTAGTTATATCATCCTTCAGAGAATACCATCTGGCAACTTGATTCATTTGCAGTACTTCCTAAATTCCAGCAGCAACCTATTTGTGTCTTTCTACAAATAGTTAACTTCACTAGTTTTAGTATCAGAAATTGGCCTTTTTAAAAACTTCACCTTTTTCTGATCCCTATTTTCCCTTTATCTGTAGAGTTTTTGCACCTCTTTTTAGAAGGATAAACTATGACTAATACATGAGAACATATTTCCACACTCAGTGCTTATCCATATTCCAAATAATGCTGCTCAAATATTAAATATAATTTCAGAATTCTGAATTTCTTGTATTATCCCATGAACTTTATGCAATATGAATTACTATCTTTCTTTTCTTTTCTTTGTTTTTCTGAGACGGAGTCTCGTTCTGTTGCCCAGGCTGGAGTGCAGTGGCGCCATCTCGGCTCACTGCAAGCTCCACCGCTCCACCTCCCGGGTTCACACCATTCTCCTGCCTCAGCCTCAGAGTAGCTGGGACTACAGACGTCCACCACCACGCCCGGCTAATTTTTTTGTATTCTTAGTAGAGACGCAGTTTCACCGTATTAGCCAGGATGGTCTCGATCTCCTGGCCTCGTGATCTGCCCGCCTCTGCCTCCCAAAGTGCTGGGATTACAGGAGTGAGCCACTGCGCCCAGCCTATGAATTACTACCTTTCTAACAGCATTTATTAATATATATCTGTAAGTGAGTGTATTAGGTGCTTACCACATGCCAGGCAGCTCTAGGTGTAAGTGTAACATAGAAGACTGAGGGTCTAGTAGTAATGGAGAAAAAAGGCAAGTGATATAAATTTAACAGAAAAAGGTGTGATTAATTCACTCTGGAGTAGATGGCAAAATTTTTCGAGAAGTGAATTAGGCTAAGTCTAGAAGGATGAATAGGAGTTCATCAGGCACTAGAAAAGAGAAAAGGCATCCCTAACACTCCCCGTCCCCCACCTGCCCCAAATTTGGGAAAATAGAAAAAGAAAGAATAACATAACAAAACCAGAAGAAATCCTGTTCACCTCATGCCTGGGGTTGGTGCAGGGGTAGGGGTTAGGGGGGTAATTGTGTTTTTAAGTATACTTCAGAAAGTAAACGTTTATAAAACAGGATTTACAATCAAGGGAAAGGGGTGGAGGAGGAGGAAGTTCAGTTTATTTTGTTATATTAACTTAAAACAAATGAGGAAAAATATCAACATCTATGCTTGGGAACACATATACTATCTTTCATAAAAGTCCCTAAGTTTGAAAATGAAAGCATATGGAGCTTTATCCAATATTACAATATTTGCCCTAGTGTTTTGTATCCTTAATATTATTTTCAAAGGTTCTAAAATGAGTCGGCCCAAGATCTTGACAGCACATCCACACACATGCCCAATAATCCACTCTTGATTGAAACAATCAACAGTAGCCTAACCAACTTTTTACTTACCCTGACTTGGACACCTTCGTATCCTTCAAAGTCTGGCTTTATAGTATGACCATCAACAGACAAATAATTAAGCTCTAAGTTTTGTTACTCCACCTCTCCATCCTTTCATTCAATTATTTCCTCTCAAATCCCATTAGCTTCGCTTTTCTCCTAAAGGGACTCGTAGAAAATACATGCACAGCACAATCACAAAAACCAGTGGCTGGAGCCAGAGTCCAAACGCGCACACACTAATTTCCAGTCGTATCCCTCTTGGGGCTGTTCCTACCAGTGATCAAATTCAGCGGACCAGGAAGAAGGAAAAAGCTGAAGCAGGAAGACTCTTCTCTTCCTTCCACTTCCCCCGACGCCGCCTCCCCCTCCCCCCGCTCTCCCGTCCCCCAGGGCCGCACCGCCACCGACCTCGCACGCACCCCCTCCCACTGTCACCCGCCACTGCCTACAAAACAGTCATAGCCTTTGTTAAAATGTCCACGGGCACAATGGACCAGAAGAGGGACACATTCCCGGGGGTGGGTAAAGGAAAGTCACACGAACGCCACGCCCTCCTTGGGACTAGCCCGGGCCGACAGCCCACCGCCTCCAAATCCTTTCCCCTCCGACGGGGAAGGTTTCTAGCAACTCGGCACCAGAGAAAGCAGCGCTGGAGGAGGGGGCCTGGGACGTCCCTCAGAGGCACCAAGCAGGGGACTGAACTTGAAGCTGGGACACCCTCCAGCACCGTTGGCAAGCCTCGCGGTCCTGCCCAGCCTGTGTGCGGACTTCCAGCCTCTGAACCCTATTCCTTCAATTTTTTTCTCGTCATACCCACCCTCACCCACTCCCGCTACCATGCACTCCGCTCCCCACGCGGCCCTGGCCGGACGCCCACAGGCAGCGTCGCTACCAACGCTACCGCACATCTGACGGGTTTCTCCTCGCAGAACAGAAGTCACCCCCACACACCCCAATCCTTCCTGGGGCGCTTCGCCCCGATCACGTTTCCCCAGCTAGGAACCCAGCGCGGCCACCACACTCACAGCGGGTCCGGCTCCGCTACTCGCCGTTCTGCGATCCACACGTCGCGCCTGCGCGCTCCTATTTCTGCCGAGCCTTGCCGGAGCCAGGAACCGGGAGCGGACTGGAAGGGAGGTGGAAAGAGGCGGGGGCTGGGCTGGGGCGGGGTTAGGAGAGAAGGGGCGGGAACGAGCTGGGGCGGAGGGTGGGAAACGAGGGGCGGATCCTCCACCGCTTCTGCTGGGAAGAAGCAGCGCTCAGGGCATCCTGCTGGAGCTTTCCACTCTTGGGGTTTATTTATAGCACATATAGAAAAGCCGTCGAGACCCGTCTGTGCACTCCCACACGCACTATGGAGAAAGCCTGGCTCGGCGCGGGCCCAAGTAGTCAGCCCTCGGGCCGCCACGTCTCTCCTTCTGGCTACCGCGGGTCCCCGCCAGCCTTTTTCTCTTTCGCATACATACCTCACCACACATTATTCCTTTTCCTAGTCGTTTCTCCTCATCGGGTACTCTTCAGCCCTGGTGAAGTGAGGGGCATAAGGATTTCTCATCCACAGACCGCCTGCGTAGGGCATCCTAGTTAATATACCTCTTTGCTATGTGTGAGCCCAGATCGTGGTTGGTGACTATTCGACCATTGCCCACTGTTAAAGCTCAGAGAATTGCCCTTTCCTTGAGAAATAATTCCCTTACCACTGTTTCCGAACAACTCTTGGTGACAAGTATCTGCTTTTTCTTAAAAAAAAAAAAAAAAAAAAAGTCTTGTACAAACTTACCCAAATATCTTGAGAAGAAAACCCATCTTTGATCTCGTTTTTTAGGTAGAGCTAGAGCTATCTTAGAACTTGAATCTTAGAATTCTACAGGCCCCTCTAAGAAACAGAATAAAAGGCTTTTGCTGTTGTGTAAACTTTGACCTAATGCTTGGAGGTTTTCTGGCATTTTGCATCATAAGGAGCCTAGCTTGATTATTATTCCATGCTGCATGCGTGCTTGGTTTTAAGTTGTATGCTTTTCTGTTTACAGTCTGCTCAGCTGCGGCATCTCACATGCCTTCAGATCAGCTATTAAAATAAACACACACCTGAGTGAATCCAAAGTGAATTGGGCTGTGGGCCTGAAGTGATTTATTCCAAACTAACTTCCCCTTCTTTTTACTTTAATTGTGATGGAATTAAGAAACATTTGGCTTATTAAGAATAAACGAATTGCCACACGACCACACCAATAGTCTCTCCCAGCAAGTATTTTAACTGTGATGGGGACATTTTATGGGAGAATTTGGTAATTGCCCTTAAAGATCTGAATATCCCGAAATTCTTCCATTTAACCTTTCTTGTCTTCCATTGATATATTTTACAAATCAGATTTTCTAGAACTCATTTCTACCTTGCACTTGTCAAATAAGCCTAGGGGGGATGTAGAGAAATCTATTGCCAAAAGGTATATTGGTAATGTAGACACAAATTTTGCACGATTAATAGATCTGTAAGTACCTGGAAGCAGGACTTTGTCCTATTCATTTCACTAGTAAAATATTTCACATACAAGTTCTTAAAAAAAAAAAAAATGCTGGGTTAATAAAAGTAAGATTTGCATCCTTAATAGATGTGTATATGTGTTGTTGTTGTTTTTAAACTTTTCACTTGATTATTATTTTTTTCTTTTTTGTCTAAATTTTTCAGGATATTTTGGTTGAAATGACAAGAACTAGATTGAAGTAGATTGGGCAAAAAGAGGAAGTTATTGTGTAACCCAAGTTGTGAAAGGGTAGTTCTATGATTGGCCATAGGATTGAATGGAACCAGCAACAGGAATGCTTCAAATTCCAGCTCAGGCTCTCAGTCCAGACAGGGTCATTCTAACAGAACATCTCAAAGTCATATTCTGCTGGTTTGGCACCATAGCCTCTTACAAGTTGCTCACACCTACCAAGTTGCTACCAGACAGAAAGTATTTCTCTTCTCTCACTTCCAGTTTTTAAAGCAACAGTTAAAGCATCTGATTGGGTAGGATTGAGTACCATAACCACTCCTGAAAAGAAAATGCATATGTGACACAAGAATGGGACCCAAGTATAACCACATGGTTAAAGAAAAAAAAAATAAAGAGAAAAATTCCTAAATGAAAACAAACAGTAAGAGGGAGATGCCATTTTCAGAAGAGACAGGCACTGGACAGACAAAAAAAAAAAAAAAAGTCCACTATAGAACATCTGTATTTAAGGAATACAGCCTTGGAATTATCTTTGACCCCTCTTTCTCTCCCTCTCCCTACCTCCCCAAATATTCAAGTATTAACAAAGCTGGTTAACGGTGTCTATGTATTAGTTTTCTGTGGCTACTCTACAAAAATTACCACAAACTTCATGGCTTAAAACAACACAAATTTATCATATGGTCCTGGAAGAAGTCTGACAAGAGTCACACTGGACTAAAATCAAGGTGTTAGCAGAGTTGAGTTCCTTTATGGAAACTTTTTGGGAGAATCTTTTTTCTTGCCTTTTCCACATTCTAGAGACTTCCCACATTCCTTCATTCCCGGCTCTATTCCATTTTCAAAGCCAACAATAATATTACTTCGACACACTGACACTTCTGCCTACCTCTTCCACACGTAAGCAACTTTCTGATTATATTGGGCACATTAAGATAATCCGAAACAGTCTCCCTATCTGAAGGTCAAATGATTAGCAGCCTTAATTATATCTGTAACTTTAATTCCCTTTTGCCATGTAACATATTTTCACAGGTTCTGGGTATTGGCACATGGATATCTTTTGGGGCACATTAATATCCCTACTACAGTCTTTCTTTTCATAAAAGTAACAAAGCCTAAGCCACTGGTTTTCAAACTGAAACACTTGTAAAAAAAACTACTGATATCTGGATCCTACCCCCAGATATTATTATTTAATTGACCTGGAGACCCTTGGCCCCTCTAAACGCACACAGAATTAGTTGGATCAGGGTGGAGCATCTCTGACCCATTCTGGGCCAGAGAACTTCCCTGGGGATTTAGAATAGTGGCAGGGAATTGGTAACACTGGGTGTCTGAAGCTGTAATGTGTCAATTTAGGAACTATAACATAAGGAGAATCTTAGGAAAACAAATCTGGATTGGATGGAAGAGGAGAGAGACAGAAAGAGGTAGACACAGTGGAGCTGAGCCTGGATCCTCAATGGTTGTCTGCCTCATAGTTACAATGGCATTCTTTTTTTTTTTTTTTTTTTTTGAGATGGAGTCTGGCTTTGTCACCCAGGCTGGAGTGCAGTGGCCGGATCTCAGCTCACTGCAAGCTCTGCCTCCCGGGTTTACGCCATTCTCCTGCCTCAGCCTCCCGAGTAGCTGGGACTACAGGCGCCTGCCACCTCGCCCGCCAAGTTTTTTGTATTTTTTAGTAGAGATGGGGTTTCACCATGTTAGCCAGGATGGTCTCGATCTCCTGACCTCGTGGTCCGCCCATCTCGGCCTCCCAAAGTGCTGGGATTACAGGCTTGAGCCACCGTGCCCGGCCTACAATGGCATTCTTATCATTCGCTTCTGTGAGGAACCACTGAATCCTCATAAGAAGGTATCTTATTTTGCTGAAGCTAGCTCAAGTTAGTTTCTCTTGCATACACTGTAAAATATTCTAATTAATATAGGATGAGAGCTTAACTTTCCTCCAATTACTTTTTTTCTGATACGTTTTTGTTAAATAAATAAGGCAGGCTTAAGAACCAGACTTTAGAGTTGGTATTCCAGGTCTTCTGTCTACTTCACCAGCATCCATCTCCCAGTTACCCCATATTATTCCACTCCTCCTTTCACTTTATAGTTACTCAAAAGCCCAGAAGAGGCCTCATAAATTATCTCAGCCTCATCTCCATCCAATAGTCCAAGTCTCCCTTAGACACACCAGTTAGGTGTAAATCCAGTTCTCTTCTTGACTGATGTCAAGTCAATATTAATGACTTGCAAATCAAATCTCTAGCCCTAATCCTTCTCCTGATTTTCAGATCTCTAGTTTCCTGGCTAATGGATTATTCCTCCTCAAGGTATAAGAAATGAAACTCAATTTCTCTTCCAAAATCTGCCTTCCTTCTTGCATTTTATTTTCTTCATAATGAAAATACTATGCACCCCGTCAAACACATTGGAAGTGGTAAATCACTCATGACCAGTTTTTCTCTATCCTCAGTTTTCTCTTCATTCTACCTCCTACATGTTTCACATATTAATTCATCTTTCCTGCCTCACTTCAGATGTATCACCAATCACCTGAGCTACCACATGGTCTCCCAGCTGGTTTCCCTGTCTTTAGTTTCTCCCAAATCCAATCCACCCTTCCCAGTTCTGCCAGATAGCTTTATACACACAAATGTGATCAAGCCACTGTACTACTTAAAGACATTTCATGACTCCTGTCCACTTTACCATAAAATACAAACTTTTTCAGCACAGTCAAATCTTGTTATCTGGCTGCATTGCACCTTTGCAAACTCATTCCCCTACCCATCATATGCACCCTAAGCTGCTAGCTATATTTGCCTTATACTTTTGTGCTGTGAGGACTTTCCTGTTTTCTCTCTCTGGCGGACACGTTCTTACAGATCCAGCTCAAAGAGAGCCACTACATAAATTCTTCCTGGTGCCATTCAAGGCAAAGTAAATCAGCTATTGATACTCTGCTTGCTATCTCTGTACTTGCATCCCCCTTCTTAAGGCTTATGCCTTAATATATTTATGCCTACATCTTCCTCTTCACTGAGAGATCTCTGCGTGGAGAGACAGACAGTGTAGCTCTAGCGTTAATCACAAAGCATGACATATACTGGGTTGGAAAAAAATCTTGTGAAAAAAGAACAAAAGGAAGGAAGAAGAAGACTCCATGTTGTCTTCTGCTCATGATTTGCCAATGCTTTTTAAAATCCCTTGTGTTACTAATCATTTCACCAACTTCCAATTCAATAGTTTATGCCAAACACCCATTTCAAGACTCAGGTCTAAAAATATTGGAGGGGTGTATACTCTGAATGATCCCCTACTTTGATAAATCTTTTCTTTTCAGACTTTTAATCACTTATGTATTCAATTCATACTAATGATGTAATTTTAGCCCTTCCTGAATGTCATATTCTTTGGCACTTTTACATTTTTAACTCCCATGTGGTTGGTTACCTGCAGGAAAGCAGGGTTTAATTTTTGTTTTTCTTTTGTATCTTCTCAAAAATTCTTAGTAAACATTCATGTAGTAAGACATATTATATGATAAAACCAGGGTAATAAATTTAAAAAGATTGAAATAAAAAGCATGTACTCTAACTACAATGAAATTAAATTAGAAATGTGTAACAGTATCATACCTAGAAAAATTTCCTATATTTGGAAACTAAATAATGTAAAAAAAAAAACATGTTTTATATACTAGCATACAATTAGAAAATAATTTCAAAACAATGTCAGAACAATTTGATTTATAATAACATCAGAAACTATAATATGGCTACAAGTCAATTTAATAAAAATATGCAAGACTTCTTTATTATAAAATACAAAACACTGATGAGAGAAATTTATCAAG